AACTGGCTTGGTGTCACTGATGTCCCCACTGGCACCAATACAGTGATCAGTGCCAATTAAAAGCACTGGGCAAGAAGGGGTTAACATGTGGGGCAATCAAAGGGTTAACTGTGTGCTGTTTTACTATGGGGGCTGTGTGTGTGTTTCACTGTAAGCACACTGCTTTGTATGGCTCTATGCAGAGCCATTCAAAGCAGTGTGCAGGAGCTGACAGGGGAGAAATCTGTATTGTTTACATACAGGTCTCTACCCCATCAGAAATCCTCGGAGATCGTTGGGTGCCGGCGGGGAATCACCGGCTGGGACCCAATGATAGACAGCCGAGGCCACGAATGGCGGCGTGGGTAGGGCGTGCCCTTACCCAGAACTACAAAATCACGCATATATACATGATTTTGCGCACCCATGCCTCCCTGTGGAAATATTTCTGCTATAGGGCAGTGCAGAAGCTGTTAACCCATGTGTGAAAGGACCCTTGGTTAGAAAGTGCCATTTGTCAGGAACTGGGAGGCCTCTATAGTCGGTGATTGTCGGGAGAGATCGGTGTGTAAATAACACAAATCACTCTCCTGTCAGTATGGACATGCTGTTTTGTATCCCTCTGCACAGCAGAGAGATACAAAGCAGCATGTCTCCCTAGTAAAACACAACACAGCATACAATGTGAAACACACACAGCACAGAGTTAACCCTTTGATTGCATCACGTTAACCCCTTCCTGCCCAGCGTCATTAGTACAGTGTCAGTGCTTTTTATTACCACTGATCACTGTATTAGTGTCACTGGGGATGTCAGTGGCCATTAGTCAGTTCCCACCCAGTGTCAGAATACACGCCGCAGTACCACAGTCTCGCTATAAGTCGCTGATTGACACCATTACTAGTATAAAAAAAAATTCAAATAAAAATTCCAGTGTATGTACTGCCATTTGTAGATTGTACTTCCACGTAAACCAATTAATATACACTTATTAGGATTTTTTTTTAGCAAAGACATGTAGCAGAATACATTTTGACCTAAATTTATGAAGAAATTTGATTTTCAAAATTTTTTATTGGATATGTTTTATAGCAAAAGTCAAAAATATTGTTTTTTTTCAAAATTGGCGGTCATTTTTTTGTTTATATCGCAGAAAATAAAAAACAAAGAGGTGGTCAAATACCACCGAAAGAAAGCTCTATTTGTGGGAAAAAAAGGATGTAAATTTAATTTGGGTGCAGCGTTGCATGACTGTGCAATTGTCAGTTAAAATAACGCAGTGCCGTATCACAAAAAAATGGCCTGGTCAGGAAGGGGGGTAAATCCTCTGGAGGGCAAGTGGTTACTATCACTATCTATACATATTTCAGAACTACAATTGTTTTTTTGGCCAATATCACATCTTATTGAATGTTTTCAAATACTTTTGTTTTAGTTTTCCTATTGTACACAAAGCAAGCAGAGCATGCATACATTTGGAACCTGCATATTAGGCCGAGTTAACACCATTGTGGCATTTTTGGCTGCAGCATGGGTACCTGCGTCATTTGTTTGCATTTTACAAGCTTTTTTTTCACTGTGGTCCATTTGATTTCTAAAAATGCACCAAAAGTCCTACATGCCACATCTTTGGTGCACTTTCAGAAAACACAGCAAAAATGCGCTGCCTAATAGAATTCAAGGTGGCAGTGGCTAAAAACGCATGTAAAACACACAAAAACTGTGCATACTTTAACGCTGCAGTCAAAATGCAGAGCACCAGTGTGTACCCGGCCTAAATGGCCATAAACAACCTAATAATGTTCCCATTCCAAAACCTGATACAGTTGGGCGGATTTAATAAGAGTTGAGAATCTTCGCACAATTTTTTTTCAATTATATAATCATGCGTGGATGGCATAAGTAATCAGAAATTTGTTTTTCACATGATTGGATAATTGAAGTGAATATTCACACAATTTACTGTATCCTTCAAAGTTAATATTATTATTATACAGGATTTATATAGCGCCAACAGTTTGCTCAGCGCTTTACAATATAAAGGGAGACAGTAGAGCAACAATACAGTTCAATACAAGAGGGTTAGGAGGGCCCTGCTCTTTGGAGCTTACAATTTATTAATTTTTGAATAACTTGAACCTCCCTTTGAGGCCCCATGTACACAGGGAAACTTCTGAACGATGGAAACTGACTGCTGGAAAACGTAGGTTAAAAAATGTCTGTTTAGTCACGTTTGCATAATGCGTTTATGTGCTTTTGAGTTTAGAAGCGTTTTTTAAAAATAAGCACACAAGAACCTCCCAAATGCCCAGATGCTCTGAAAAGTGGTAAATTATTAACTATTTCAGACTGTTTCTGAGGAATACAGAGTAGAAGCAGAGAGAGCAGTATGTGGTGAGATAAGTGTGAGTTGCTCATTAACATTTCTTTTGTTTCCAAGGGTGGGAAAGGTGTCTGGGGGAGTGAGTGATTAAGATCACCTAGCAGAGGAATTAACATATTAACTTTTGTTTCCAAGGGTGGGAGAGGTCTGAGGTGTGAATTGGTCCTTACAATGTGTGACAAGCTTGGTAGGAACATCCTGTATTCAGTGTTTTGTCCATCTGAGTACCTTGGAAACGCTTTGCATCTTTTTTCATGATGAAAAAGGCTCTGGATAGCATAGGGAACTGGAAGAGTTAAAAAAAAAATTTCAGACACAAAGGCTTATAAATGCGATTTGCCATGTTTAGCCGCGTTTACAAGCATTTTGCATTTGAAACGCTGATAAAATCGACTGCTGAACGTAAGTTTTCTGCATTCAAAGAAAGACTCAAATGCCTGTAAATGACTGTAAATGAAGATGTGTACATGGACACATAGGAAAACATTAGGGTGAGTTCAGGGGCTGCTAAAAAAAACGCAGAACAGCTCCTAAACGTGAGTTTATCAGCTGCAGTGTACATGAGCCCTGTGTAATGAATGTACATTAGACTGTAAGCTCCTATAAACAGGGCCCTCTGAATCGTCTTGTATTGAACTGTATCGTAACTGCCCCTTTCATTTTGTAAAGAGCTGCACAAATTGTGGGTACTATTCAAATCCTGCATTTTAATAACTACTGATTCTCCAGTAATTCTACTGAACTCCTTTAGTAAATCAGCCTTAATGTGCTATTGTTGGGATGTGGTGTCCATATGTACTATAGAGGGACACATTTGGGTTGATTTACTAAAGGCAAATAAACCATGCACTTTGCACGTGCAGTTACATTCATTTCCCCCAGAGCTTAATGAATGTGGTAAAGCTTCACTTTGTAAAGAATACCCTATAAGGAGCAAGGAAAATTAAAAAAAAAAAAACAGCATTTTACCTTGCACATGATTGGATGATGATGGAAATCAGCAGAGCTTCACCACATTCACTAAGCTCGGGGGAAAAATGAGTGCAGCTGCACCTGCAAAGTGCACAGTCCAGGGGCGGACTGACAACTCATGGGGCCCCCAGGCAATAAGGGATCATGGGGCCCCTGTGTCCTTGCCCAAACTCAAAAAAGCCTATGAAAAAGGTACCAGGGGCATCTCATGGGGCCCCCTAATGACCCCGGGCCCTCGGGCAGTGCCCGAGTTTCCAAATGGTCAGTCTGCCCCTGGCACAGTCTATTTGACTTTGGTAAATCTACTCCATTCTGTTTATAGAATGAAATCAGCCTCATGGTGATCAGTAGTCAGTGAAGTAAAAACAGGCCATTTAGGTCCAAGCTAGTGGGTAATAGCCTGCAATCCTATCAGGCACCGTGTTTCAATCAATCACAAATATTTTCTTGTTGTGCCACCTAGCCATTCCTCTTTTCCTAACAAGTCATTCCCTTATGTGTGTCAACTGCTCTGCTGTGCCCTTTACGTCTATTTTCTTATTTGGAGCTTGCCACCTACTGGCTGGAATGGACAAATATTACATATTTATATACACTATTTCAGAGGATTTTTTTTAGCACTGCACATAATAAATCAAGAAATATTTTTTTTTTTTTAACGACCACTATACTCTTCCTCTAAAGGTATGAAACAGTAAAACTACACAAGATAACTGTAACCGCTGATGTCTTCATATTCCCCTAAATGATTCCTAAGACATTGAGGCACTGCAAGTTAAGAAATGAAATGAATTGGCAGTCCAGTTACAAGCAGAGCAGATCTATCAGACTTTGCTCAGAATGTTACAAGCATTTAGCGGAGTCAATATTGGACAGTTTACAATGTTTTATGGACATGTGCCTCCCTCACACACAAGACACACTGAGCACATTGTAAACATTTATTAGACACAATAATGTGCTCTGTGCAGTCTTCATTGACTGGTTTTTAGAATGCTCAGTTCTGTTCTGTTCTGTGCGCATTAGCCATAAAAATGCTCAAAGGTTTCTATTCCGGACAAATTGATCTGTTGAAATAAAAACTACTTTCAGACCAATAATCCGAGTTATTATATTCCACGTGTTCAGAAATAAGCAGCTGTTCCAATTGGGCAAAACTCAATGTGCCGATAAATTTTGTTGTAATCTGGTTTCTTTGTTGGCAGTGTGGTGTTTAAACCACAGTACTTATTTTTCACTATTTTATTCATTAATACAGTAAATGATTGTTTTATTTAAATGTTAAGGTGAATGTTTTCAGTATTAGGCTCAGTTTTTATTTTGCAAGACATTGAAGAAACCAGGAGGGGACTGACCATTCGAGCACTTGGGTACTGCCCGAGGGCCCAGGGTCAGTAGGGGGCCCCATGAGATGCCCCTGGTACCTTTCATTGGCTTTTTTATAGGCTTTTTTGTGTGTGGGCAAGGACACAGGCCCCATGATCCCCTATTGCCCGGGGCCCCCATGAGTTGTCAGTCCGCCCCTGGAAGAAACATCTCTATGAAGAGTGAACATTTTTTAGCTTTTCTGCTAACATATTCCTTTTCTTCAGTGAAACAGGCATGATGACTTAATCGCTTTCCCGCAGCCCTATGGCAGAAATATTGCTACACGTGAGCCGTAAACGCACTGCCATTGGCGGCCTCACCTGTTGATCACCGTGTCCCTGCTGGTGATTCCCTGTCGGCACCCAGCGATCAGCATGTATCACTGACGGGGGAGAGGTCTGTATGTAAACAATACAGATCTCTCCCCTGTCAGCTCCTGCACATTGCTTTGTATTGCTCTGCATAGCAGAGCAATACAAAGCAATGTACTTACACAGTAAAGCACACACACAGCACACAGTAAAACACAACACAGCGCACAGTTAACCCTTTGATCGCCCAAGATGTTAACCCCTTCCTGCCCAGTGTCATTAGTACAGTGTCAGTGCTTTTTTATTAGCACTGATCACTGTATTGGTGTCACTGGGGATGTCAGTGACAGTTAGTCAGTTCCTGCGCAGTGTCAGAATGCCCGCCACAGTCCCGCAGTCTCATTATAAGTCACTGATCACCGCCATTACTAGTATATATATATATAAAAAAAAAATTCCGGTATCTATACCGCTATTTGTAGACGCTATAATGTCACGTAAACCAATTAATTCACACGTATTGGGGTTTTTATTAGCAAAGACATGTAGCAGAATACATTTTGGCCTAAATTTATGAAGAAATTTGATTTTTAAAATTTTTTTTTTACTGGACAGGTTTAATAGCAAAGTCAAAAATATTGTTATTTTCTCAAAATAGTTGGACTTTTTTTTTTGTAGCCCAAAAAATAAAAAACATAGAGGCAATGAAATACCACTGAAAGAAAGCTTTATTTGTGGGAAAAAAGGACATAGGTTTAATTTGGGTACAGCGTTGCATGACCGCAATTGTCAGTTAAAGTAATGCAGCACTGTATTGCAAAAAATGGCCTGGTCATGAAGGGGGGGGGGGTTAAATCCTCTGGAGGGCAAGTGGTTAAAATGAACCTGTACCCAGACTATGTGTAGGCAGGTGAAGTTTACCCTCCCCTTGTGCTGTGGTGCTGTGTTGCTGACCTCTGTACAGAGGGAATAAATGATGGAGGGAACTTTGTTCCTCCGAAGCCATAGGTGTCACCAGAGGAGCAGTGGTCTGAATAGAAGACACAACACTGGATGACCTTTACAGCCATCTTTGGTTAGAGCAGTGCTAATAAACATCACTGCATCACTGCAGTTAACATACATTTGCAAAGTCAATAGGCAAGGGACAGGATCCACATTGGATAGGGACAGAGCAACTAGTCCTAGGGAAAGGTTTCTGAGGAGGAAGGACAGAATAGGGACTTTGCTGGCTCTGCTACCTCTGGACCAGTGGCGAACTGACCATTTGGAAACTCGGGCACTGCCCGAGGGCCGGGGGTCAGTAAGGGGCCCCATGAGATGCCCCTGGTACCTTTTTCATAGGCTTTTTTGAGTTTGGGCAAGGACACAGGGGCCCCATGATCCCCTATTGCCCGGGGGCCCAATGAGTTGTCAGTCCACCCCTGCTCTGGACTTTAGAGTTGGTGATAAGAATCAGCCATTGATCCACTTGGTGCCGCTTATACAGCTACTCCACCAAACAGCTGCACCTGCTCAACAAAAATACCGTTCTGGTAATGTAAGCCTCATCAGGTTGCCACTATAAGTGTTGGGACTTTTCAACTGTGCCAATAACATTCCTGAGAGTTTCTGAACATGTGACACCTGTGTCATTGAGAGGCTGTTACCATTTTGCTTGAGACTATTATGCACATACGTTGCTGCTGTTCTACACCTGTTACTTTTTACTTCCATTTAACCAAATGAAACCACTCCCACTCTACTTGGTCTCAGTGTGCCATCTATGGTTAAGGAGCCTACTACAGATTACAGGACCACTAATATCTACGAGTCGCACCAAAGATACCAGTCATGGAGTTCTACCATAATGGACTAGAGATGTTAAGGAAAGACTGAATCATCTGTAATGTTACTAAAGAGGTGTAATGCAAGTAACTCTTTGCTCATTGCTACCCCTGAAATGACATCGGTCACTGTAATTTTCTCGTCCGAAATCTGGAAAATATATAACCAACATGGGAATTTTCAGCATTTAAAAGAGTACAGCAACCGCCCCAAAGAAGGGATTGCATTGGCTTGATGTAAAATGATCAATATTCCTCCTGCGCTATAAATGGTAAAAGGAGCTAAACCTAAAAAGCTGCCAGCACTCTCCTGCTGATACCTAATACAGTGTAAACATAAATTAATAAATAGTGTGGCGCTCTAAAAATGAATACATAAATATATGTGTATAAACATAACCATTTGTACTACGTGACCAAATAAATATGTGACCAATTAATATAGTGAATTAATTGCAGTATATCCAAAAAAATATATTATATTGATGATAAAATAAATACCTCAAGTGATTTCAACAATAAACCTAGTATCCCCAGGTTATGTTGTTACATGACAAGCATACCATACAGTGATCATATATAATTAAATCCTGTATAAAGTGACCAACGTGCTAAAGTGCCAAAAAAATGTGCTAAAACATATATTTCAATTCTTGAATATTCTTAGAACACTCAGTCCTTCAAGTGATATCCAAATCATGCGATGTGTAGTGATAAAGATAGTGATTTGTGCCAAAAAACTCCTCTCCTACAGGTGGCTAGATTGCCTCCTCACCTCCTCCTGGTGACCACTAAGGGCCAGCAGGCTTGCAGGATCACCCTGGATCCTTATTCCACACCAGACCAGCAGCTCCTCTCCTTCTTTATTTATGTGAGACTCCCGTCTCTCTCCTCCTCCACCAGGATTCTGAAGGACAATGACTCACCAGTCCAGTGAGCCAGAAGAAAAAATGCCCTCTAAGTGCAGTAATTATTGACTCCTTTATTTTCCAAAAAGTAAAGAGCGACAACACTCACATTTTCTGTCAGTCCACCCTCCTCACGGATGTGTGGGTGTACTCCATGTGCCTGGGACTTCCTAGGTGTAGTAAGATGGCGTCTCACGCCGGAAATACGTCACCGCGCACCGGAAACTGCTGACTCGCGAACCTACGCGTTACGTCACTGACAACTCGTGACTTCCTCGGGGTATCGCTTGACAGGCCCCAGTTCATCCCTTTATAGCTAGCCAAACAATTGCGAAGGGATTGGAACTAGTTATGTTCCTTGAGGACCTGCGAGAAAACAGAGAGGCTTTGCTCGGTCTATTCTCGGTCTATATAGACCGAGCAAAGCCTCTCTGTCTTCTCGCAGGTCCCAAGGGAGGAACATAACTAGTTCCAATCCCTTCGCAATTGTTTGGCTAGCTATAAAGGGATGAACTGGGCCTGTCAAGCGATACCCCGAGGAAGTCACGAGTTGTCAGTGACGTAACGCGTAGGTTCGCGAGTCAGCAGTTTCCGGTGCGCGGTGACGTATTTCCGGCGTGAGACGCCATCTTACTACACCTAGGAAGTCCCAGGCACATGGAGTACACCCACACATCCGTGAGGAGGGTGGACTGACAGAAAATGTGAGTGTTGTCGCTCTTTACTTTTTGGAAAATAAAGGAGTCAATAATTACTGCACTTAGAGGGCATTTTTTCTTCTGGCTCACTGGACTGGTGAGTCATTGTCCTTCAGAATCCTGGTGAGGGAGAGAGACGGGAGAGTCTCACATAAATAAAGAAGGAGAGGAGCTGCTGGTCTGGTGTGGAATAAGGATCCAGGGTGATCCTGCAAGCCTGCTGGCCCTTAGTGGTCACCAGGAGGAGGTGAGGAGGCAATCTAGCCACCTGTAGGAGAGGAGTTTTTTGGCACAAATCACTATCTTTATCACTACACATCGCATGATTTGGATATCACTTGAAGGACTGAGTGTTCTAAGAATATTCAAGAATTGAAATATATGTTTTAGCACATTTTTTTGGCACTTTAGCACGTTGGTCACTTTATACAGGATTTAATTATATATGATCACTGTATGGTATGCTTGTCATGTAACAACATAACCTGGGGATACTAGGTTTATTGTTGAAATCACTTGAGGTATTTATTTTTATCAATATATATATATATTTTTTTGGATATACTGCAATTAATTCACTATATTAATTGGTCACATATTTATTTGGTCACGTAGTACAAATGGTTATGTTTATACACATATATTTATGTATTCATTTTTAGAGCGCCACACTATTTATTAATTTATATTGGCTTGATGTACCTGTTGTTATTCTCAATAAATGCCTTCTAATCTACCATCAAAAGTGCATTCTTTAAGACTTCGCGCGCTCCTTCTTTTCTACTATTCCAAGTATACGTGTGGAAACGACCTCAAGGCCGTACCTGGAAGGCAGCAGCCCAAACTCTAAGACGGTTTCCTGCCAATATCCACCATTGGGTACAACTGGCTGGAGGGACTTCTCCATGCAACCACCTATTTAACACCAGTGACTGATCCAGTCAGTCCAGCGCAGTCTTCAACACAAATATAATGCAAGTAACATGTACATTCTACACATTGTCTACAGTATGGGTCGGTTAAGACACATTGGGGTATGAAGACAGCTCTGTAAGAGTTAGCACGATATGGAGATAAACATGTGGTTACCAAAGGTAACAAAGGTTTCATCTATAGCCTGTTGTAAGTGTGTGCCTGTGATAAGTGGGATAGCCTCTTACAGGAGAGAGTTATTGTCAGCACTCTCTCCATGAGTGGTCCATCTCCTTAGGTATGAAGGAGAAAGAGTTAAGTCAGCGCACGCATATAATTTGTGCTAGGTGCACAGTGGAATTCCATTCCTGTACTGGCAGTGACGTAGCGGAGATACATTGGACAGGTGGATAGGTGAAGTGAAATAGTGGTGTATATTAACATCAAGAGAGTCAACTAGAGTTCAGTCATTTGTTTAAGTAAAGGTACCCCATGTGCAAGGCAGTGACCGTGTTTAAGGTGCCTAGCATAGCTTAGAAGAACTCCTCCTGGAGTAGGCCTCTCATGTGACCCACACTTGGCGCTGGAGAAAGGGAACATGTAGGGAGCAACACCCACCTACCCTATAGACTCCTTTCTCTTTTATTTTGTATAAAAACAGAATCTCGGCAGCCTGTCAGCCCTCTAATGCTGACTGCAACCTTTAGGCTCATTTACACCAGAATGCAGTGCAGTAAACCCATGTTCTATGCACATTTTCTGTAAGCAGAGTGTGGAATCTGCTGAAGGTGTCAATGTAATGTTTACAACACCCCAAAGTCAGATCTCAAATGCAGTGCATTTGTCTGCACGCTCTACCACAAGATCTGGTCAGAGTGCATTTTTTAAAGTAATGCAGTCACTAAATTTGGTGTGATCCAGTACGAGTTCAGCCCTTTCAAAATTTTTGGGTATCCAGTAAGATTTCAACCCTGAAAATTTGAAAATTGCACTGCACTGAATCATTTTCTGTATGCTTTTATTATGTTCTTCCTGTAATTGTGTTTTTATCTGGTATTCATGTTTACTGGCA